TCTCTCCCTATTGGTTGTAACTTGTGAGAAGAGACCCACACCCACCTTTCTACAACCTCCTTTCAGGTAGCTATAGAGGGCAATAAGGTCTCCCCACAGTCTCCTTTTCTCCAGGCTAAACAACCCCATTTCCCTCAGCTGCTCCTCATAAGAATTGCTCTCAAGACCCTTCACCAGCTTTCTTGCCCTTCTTTGGATGCACTCCAGTACCTTCATGTCTTTCTTGTACTACAGCGCCCAAAACTGAACACAACACTCAAGGTGCAGCCTCACCAGTGCCCAACTATTTGAAATAAACCTGTCCAATTTCATGCCAGGAAAACTGTTTTTGCCTTAGCACTGTGTTCTGTAAACCTGCTCATACAGGTACTGTATGCTGTAATGGTGTAGATTCATTACAGCAGGTATTTAAATTGCTTCATCTTGTTCTACACTCCTGGCTGCCTTTGAGCAAATCTGCAGCCCTTCTGCACACATAGGGGACTGCTCCGTGTGATGTCCCAAAGGATATAACCAGCTTCTGTGAAACTACAGAAGTGTCTGTGTGGGAGTAGACAGCTGCTGCCTTGAACACAGGGTCTACAGAGGAGCTTGGCCAGAGCTTTGTGTCATGGCTGAGAACATCAGCTATCCTGATCCAATACCTACCTATCCACTGAAGTAACAGAATCATAGAATCATTCAGGTTGGAAAAGACCTTCAAGACCATCAGGTCCATCTGTTAACCAAGCACTGCCTAGTCCACCACTAAGCCATGTCCCTAAGCACCACATCTACCCGTCTTTTAAATACCTCCAGGCATGGTGACTCCACCACTTCCCTGGACAGCCTGTGCCAGTGCTTGAAAACTCTTTTGTTGATGAAATTTTTCTTAATATCCAATCTAAACCACCCTTGATACAACTTGAGGCTGTTCCTCTTGTTCTATCACTTGTTACTTGGGAGAACAGACCACCACTCACCTCACTACAACCTCCTTTCAGGTAGCTGTAGAGAGCAATAACGTCTCCCCTTCAGTCTCCTTTTCTTCAGACTAAACAACCCCAAGTCCCTCTCAGCTGCTCCTCACTTTCCATTCCTGGAAAGTGAATCAACATTCATGTTTACTCAATAAACTCAACTATGTTATACCTTATTAAAAATAAGTTATTTTATAATGTTAAAAGGTGTACGGTGCTTCTTTTCTACATCTGAAATAATGGTGCACTTACATTGTTTGAATATCTCAGAATTCTTAGAAACTTCACCAGCTAATCTCGATTTGGAGGATATAGAAGATCTCTTCTCTTTGGCACAATATTACTGTAGCAAAACTCCAGCTTCTTTCAGGAAGGTAATAACAAAGTAATTTTGAAATTATCTTCTTTTTGGTGACTGTTTCAGCTCTTGCTGTTGGTAACTTTGAATATTTCATTGTGCTGTTTTGTGGGTTTCTTAACAATTTTTTCATGTTGTCACTCTGGTGGTATTTACTGTTAGGATCAAGAAGTTTGAGTGAGACATGTTACAGAGAAGCTTCCCTACAGTATTCTCACTTCATGATTGATGAACTTGTTTTGCAAACCAGGTTCTTGTAAGAACTGATGAAGTAAAAAAGCCATGCTGATGTGATTGTGTTGTAGTAGACTGCACAGCAATCCTAGCTGTGCTTGCAACAGCAAACAGGGAAAAGTCACTTGACAGAGAGAAAGCTGTCATCATCTGCACAGTTCTTCCTTACTCAAGATATCTGACTTAAGTGAATTCATAAAAGAAAAGTAATCGATAATCATTGCTTTTGGCTTGTATGTACTTTCTCTGATATGTGTAGGACAGGTAGGAGAGATTTCTGGAGGAAAAAAACCCCAAGAAAACAACCCACCAACGAAAAAAACCAAAACCCAGACGTATTTCATCATGTTGTCATGGTCAGAGTGGTGAACAAGCATGTTTGTAATGGGATTTCAGACAGAATGTTTGTGGCATGGTGGATATAGTGTTTACTTTAAGCCTTCACATCTAAAGACAATGGCTTCAGTTAACATTGTTCTTCCCCCCCCCACCCCCCCCCACCTTATTAGGACAACCACAGTCTTTTCGGCAGCAGCTTGCTGGCCCTCAAAGATGATGACACAGACTTGAGCCAGGCTCTCTGTCTAGCAGTTTCTGTGTCTGAGATTCTTCAAGCAAATCAGCAACAAGGAGTAAGTGTACTGCATTACTCTTTCTCTGCCCCCCACCCAATTTTACAGAAAAGGAAAAGAATCACTTACTGCTTTGTGTATCACAAATCTTTTTAAGTGCTAACAACAGAAATGAATATTTACAATTTCAGGAAAAAGTATTCTTGTCTTGAAGTTGTCTCCCTTGTAAATGATCTGCTGATTGCAATGCATTTGTGCTGTAGCAGCTAGAGCTACAGCACAGGGGAGCTTAATACAGCTGATTTGAATCTAAGGAGCGGGAGCTTAAATTAATACCTTACTAATTTGAATTCCTTTCCAAATGTAGCTATTGTAGAGAAAAATGCAAAACCCACTACTCAGCACCTTTGAGAATAATGGCATTATGAAATATCTGTCTTTTGTCAATGAAAGGTTTAAACAAGCAAACAAAAATGATTTAAGCTATTTCTGTAGTGGTTAATTGCAGACCTATTAGGTGCGGGGACTTCATTTAGAGTATTTAAGACCATTATATGGATAATAGTGTAGCCAGATTTCCGCGTTTCTTATTGACTAATGGCTTTTTTGTAGCCGTTTCCAGTCCCCAGTTTCATCATGCATACTTTTTTTTCCCCTAGTCCAAGTAAAGTTAAGCAGCTTTTTATATCCTGTTTTAAGTCGGTGGGGTTTAAAGCTATCCTTTTGTGCTGTGCTGAGTAGTAAAGGACTCTTGGATTGGGCCTTCAGACTTGTCCTTTCTGATGTCTTGTTGATGTATGCCCTCATACCCCACTGTGTTTCTCCTCAGTAGAGGTGAAATAATAACACTGTGTGTATTGCACTTAGGTGATCCTTTGCGATGCACAAGCTGAGATATTAATGGGAAATCACTATTAGAACGCTGTTGGTTGCCTGGTAACTGTAGAAGTCCAGCTTAATCAAATGAAATAAGATTTTCTGATAGCTGTTAATCCCTTTATGGGGTTCATGTAATACTGGACTTAGTATTAAAATAATTGAATTATGTACTTTCCCATCAATAATCACACAACTCAAAAATTTTGTAACAGTCAAAATCTTTTTCTTTCAGGAAGGAGTAAGGTTCTTTGTAGTGGATTGTCGTCCTGCAGAGCAATACAATGCTGGGCATTTATCAACAGCTTTTCATTTAGACTCAGATTTGGTTAGTATGCTTTTTGTTTCTTTACCTACTTTTGAATCTTAAATAGAAGGAGAGAGAAATGTCGGTCCTGAAAAACAAATTATCCTCAGTTTAGGCTCAAGTCTGTGGATTGCAGTGTCTAGCTATGTGATGAGGTTTCAAAAGTTAGCTTCTCTAAAGGAGACTGGCGGAACCATCATTTTACCAAGGTGTTTAGACCTTATTGGCGTTAGAACTTGAGATTCCAGGCTTTGGGTTCTTCGCTGGAAACCTATACAGGCTAAAGACTAAACATTGCTAGGAGAAATCTCTTCTTAGCATCATAATTTCTGATGAAAGGTGTCACTAATTTTAACAAGTAGCCTCTTTTTTTTCTCCAGACAATCTTGCTACTGCCTGCTTGTAAGGAGTGTATGTCTTGAAAAGAATTTGATTGCTCCTTTAAAATTTTTGCAGTACCATATAAAGAGAGGCAGTGCATTAATTTTGGAACTGAGATGTACTATGGACTAATTACTTCATTAAAGATTTTGCCATAGTTTCCATTTTATTATGAATTTCTAACTGAACATTCAGTCATATTTTTCTCTCTCCTTTTTTCCCCAAATCACTTATGCTTCAGCTGGCTTACAGTGTATTCTTCACTTCTAGATTAACCCTCTACTATTTCACTTCAAGCAATCTATGGATGCTGCATGGAATGATTTCCATGTATATACCCCATAAAAGGCTTTTTTATCTTTCTTAGATAAGAAGCTCAGTTCTGCATCTTTACCTTTCTAATTACAATTATGTATTATTCGGGATTATTTGCACAAGTATAATTATATGGGGGAGAGAAAAGAAGGCTTAGGGGAGACCTTATTGCTCTCTACAACTACGTGAAAGGAGGTTGTAGCAAGGTAGGTGTCAGTCTCTTCTCCCAAGTAGCAAGCGACAGGACAACAGGAAACACCCTCATGTTGCAACAGGGGAGGTTTAGATTCAATATTAAGAAAAAAAGTTATTCACCAAAAGAGTTATCAAGCATTGGAACAGGCTGCCCAGGGAAATGGTCATGGAGTCACCATGCCCCGAGGTATTTAAGAGACATGTAAAGGTGGCACTTAGGGACATGGATTAGTGGTGGAGTGTTGACAGTGTTGGGTTTACAGTTGGACTCGATCTTGAAGGTCTTTTCCAACCTAAATGATTCCTTGATACAGTGTTCTTGGTTTTAACCTAGATCAAAAATTATTTAGGAAAAAACTTTCCCCGTGGTATGTGGGTATCCTTCTGCCAGCCTTAATTGAAGACCAATTGAATTCCAGTACCTGAAAGGTGCCTGTAAGATATCTGGGGAAGAGCTGTTCATGAGGGCATGTAGCAACAGGACAAGGGGTAGTGGTTTTAAACTAGAAAAGGGTAGGTTTAGGCTAGATATTAGGAAAAAGTTCTTTAGTATGAGGGTGGTGGATCACTGGAACAGGTTGCCCAGAGAGGTGCTGGAGGCCCCATCCCTGGAGATACTCAAGGTCAGGCTTGATGGGGCTCTGAGCAACCTGATCTGGTAACATTGTCCCTGCTCACTGCAGGGGGATCTTTAAAGGTCCCTTCCAACCCAACACATTCTACGATTCACCATATTCAATAAAGTAAAAATAAGCATTATAAATTATTAAATAGTTTTAAAACCTAGTAATATATGAAAAAGAAGTCCCTGAAGACTTCTTAAAGTATGTGTGATTAGTTCTTATGTATTTAAATTACATATTGGAAATAACTTCTGCAGTGTGTGTCAGTTGGTATGATCTGGATCCTTCATGAACCATGCTGGATGAATGTCACCAGGTTCATCTCTGGTTTTAGAAGGAAAATGCCAGGAAAACATTGTAGGGAATAATTTTTGAGACAAAAAGCCAAGTGTCTTCAGTCTTTTATATACTTGTGTGTGCAAAGTACACACAATTTACTTTAAGGGGAAGCAATGGGAAAAGCACTTGGGAATCCATCTCATTTATAAGTAGTCTTAGATAGAGGAAGTAGTGAGATTTAGCACCTATGTAATAAAGCATCAGCATTCGGCTATAGGAAAACCCTAGTTAAATTTCAGGTTGACTTACTGTCATGTAAGGTCATGTACTTTTACTTCATTTGTACATACTTTTGTACTTTGTTGTCTAATCAATGTAAAGGCTGGATAATGAGAATGCCTTCCCTCCACCCCCTCAAATCCAGTTACAGGTCCTTATTTCTGTATTAATTTAAATAAGTGTTTTTCCCGCAAGAGCAGCTTAAAATTTCAGCTGTATTTAGAAAGCCTGTTTCTCAGTCTCTTTCATATAGCAGCTCATTGGTTTTGCATGCATAACAGGCTTTCAGGAGACTGCAGGTGTAACTTTTTGAGAGTAATAAGAATCTCCGATATCTCTTTGCACTCCTAATTTCTTTTTCCTCCTGACAAGAAGTGGAGGACCTTACTGGCATCTAGAAATTCTGGATATTTTAAAGGGTTTTAGAACTGCAAAGGATGAATGTGTTGTGCTCAAGCATATGTAAATATGGAAATTAGTCCCTCTGCCATATTGCCAACTCCATGCAACATGAAAGTTGCAAAGACTTTTTCCACTATTATTTGCTGTCTGCAAAAATAAACTAACATGTTAGCTACACTTCTTTCCTGGAGAGAGCAAGGTGGAGTGAGGAAGAAAAGGACCATTCTCAGTGTTCTTTATGTAACTTGTGGTCTGGTTCAGGCTGCCTCTTTGTGTGTGTGTGTGTGTGTGTGTGTGTGTGTGTCTTGTACAGTGCTGATGTTGCCTTGTTTGTGCTCAACAAAGTACAACCATTTGCAAATGTCTGTATCATTTTACAAGTTGTGTTACAGTATGTTGGTGTCAAACAGCACTTTTTACTTGTTCATTCCACAGATGCTTCAAAACCCATCGGAATTTGCACAGTCTGTAAAATCCCTATTAGAAGCACAAAAACAATCTATCGAGTCTGGCTCCATAGCTGGTGGGGAACATCTCTGCTTCATGGGAAGTGGCAGGGAAGAAGAAGATATGTATATGAACATGGTGCTAGCACACTTCTTACAGGTACAACTAAATTGCTGTTATTTTAATAGAAGTAAGGTATATCTGCACTTATCATTGCTATTAAATGGTAGAATATTTTCCCCTTAAAATCTTAACTTTTTTTTACATTACGTAAGTTTACACTTTTTATTAAATTAACCCATGTTTCATTATCATGCTTACAAAATTCATTCCACAATTTTTTGCTTCAACCAAAAATGTCTCTTCTGTTGCAGAAAAATAAGGAGTATGTCAGCATTGCCAAAGGAGGATTTATGGGTAAGCTTATTAATAATGAGCTTTGGCTTGAGAAAACTTGATGTCTTAACACTGTTGATATTTTTATTAAGTTTTGGTCAGAAATCAGCTAAACGAATAGGAAATAGATCTCATTTGTCAGGTTTTTGTTTTGTGTAAGTCAACACTATGGACTTGCATATTTGTGGTTAACTGTTATGATAACCCACATTTCTGGAAAATTAATACAGGAAGTGGGGAAAATCCCTCTTTCTTCTAACTTACCATTCTTGATATTTAGTCTCTGTAGATTGCAGATCCATATGAAGATGCTACTTCATAATTACTATTAATTGTTGTTGTGTTTTCTTAAGTCATCAGTTCATAATTCTGCTGTTTATGCTGCTGGAATCAATCAGGCTCAACAGCACTGGAGTGATCACTGCTACAATATGACTATAGAAGCATTACTGGTCAATATATGCAGTGTCATAACAGCTATCTTTAAAAATAAATCACTGCTTAGATCCTAATTGCTGCTGTATTTTAACTGTTTTCTTTACTAAAATAAAGATTATCCTAATGCCTTTGTACTACTGAAAGAAAATTCAGGTATTATTGTTATAGTGGTATCTGAATTAATCTGTTTTATTAAATCACATGGAGCAAAAATTGTTACTGATTAGTCTTGGATATATGGTATTTTCATCAGCAGACTAATTCCAGTGTAGTTCTGAATGTTTTTTTAATGGCCTTTTAACAGCCCTCCAGCAGCACTTAGCAGATATCAATGTGGAAGGACCAGAAAATGGATATGGCCACTGGATTGCTAGTACCTCAGGCTCGAGAAGTAACATAAACTCCTCCGTTGATGTAAGTGAATGTTAAGCTTAAGTGGTGTAGTGGTATGGGAGCCCCAGTGTACTGAATTTTTTTCTTCATATTCCTCATTCTGTTCCGAAAAATGCATTACTACAAGTCATTGTTGTTTTCAGTTGTGTGTTTAATTTCAAATTGTATTTATCTAGTTGGAGGTGACCTAAGCAGTTTTATCCTTTTGAGAGGAAGAACTTGTAGAGAAGAACTTGCTGTAGTCATTCTCCAGCAGAATATATGTAATGGACAATTAATTTCCTGACTCTTTGTCACTCTGGGACGAAATTCATATTACTATAAAACTGGCATACAATTTCAAGGAAATTGCTCAAAATTGTCTCTTCTACAGCCAATATGTTGTAGGTAGAATTTGGCTTTTAATTTGGAAACAATTTATCATTAATATAATTCTTTCCTCTTTAGTTTTTCATAACAGTGTGCTCAGTAATAAGGTTTGTTAAGCTTGCTTTGTTGGGTTGTATTTACATTAGCCACATATTGCTGTCATCTGACAGAACTCTAAAAGAATACTTAAAGCTCTAATTAGTTTTCTATTGAGTACCAAAAAGTCAGTTACTGTTTTATGGTCTGTTCGCTTTCTTAACAAGCTAGAGATGGAATAATATTCTTTTATATATTATTAATCCTAAGAGGAGTTACTTTTACAGGGTGATTCTCCGAATGGTTCAAGTGATGGAAAAGGAGTAAAGTCCCTGGTGAATAAAATGACAATAGCTTTGAAGACTAAATCTGTGAATGTGAAAGAAAAGGTTATTAGTTTTATTGAAAATACATCTACTCCAGTGGACAGGTGCGTCATTTATATCTCACTGTGACTTATTTGCGAGGAATGACTTCCCATTTCAGGTGGCTATTCTGTAAATGTGAAGACCCTGCTAATTAGGAAAAAAAGGTTACCTTTGAGTTTCAGCTTTTAGATTTCCTACCCCCACCTCCTTACAATTTTGTCATGACACAGTAGGCCTAGTGTGCTGCCTTAGTATTGCAAGGCAAGTGTGAGGAGCCTTTTCTCTTGAATGTTTATCTAGAATTTGTCACTGCATGTTTAGTTTGACTTCTTATAATGCATTGGGTCTGTATTCAGTCTAAAAGTCAAGAATGATTTAACTTTTATTTCAGTTCCTTCCCATCCTGACTCTTATGGAATTGGTGAATGACAGAAGGATACTGGGTGGTTTTTTTGTTTAGTTCTTTTTGTTCTGTTTTGGTTTTTTTTTTACTACCTCATCTTGTCAAGTTGAGGTTAACTTTTTTGAAGATCTTGATTTTTCAAGTCCTGATGTAAAGCTGCTTTTCAAACCCAGAACCTACTCTTGTTCATTTTTTTGTATCTTCAAGTAGAGCTGGGAATGAGAACATGCAAACATGTTAAAAGACACTTTCAAAGTTGGAAGTTGTCATTCCAAATACTTAACTAGATAAAAGAACAATAGTTTTCATCTGTCAAAGCTTTAATTGAATAACCTGTTTTAGAGTTCTTTAAAATGCATCCTTTGGAGTTGTATGTTGCTAAGACGTTGATATTCAAGAATCTTACAGAGCTAGTGTTTGCTTGATAGCAGGATTTAAAATATGTACCAAATGAACATAGTTTTTAGCAGTCTTCTTCCTAATCAGAAGATACATATTGTTGCTCCTTTTTGTGTTGGAATATGATTTTTTTAATGATTGTTATTTCAAAATTTAAAGGCAAAAAAAATCTTAAATAGTACTTGGTAGTAGCATTTGTTGTGTAAAGAATTCAAGTAAGGCTTATGTGTAAACCATACATAGCATGAAGAATGCATCTTTTAATAGAATTTTTACAAATGTTTCTCTTCCTCATGGCTAGCTGTCATGAAGCATTGCTTTCATTTATAAGCATCCTCCTTGAAGAAGATACATTGCCAATATTCCAACCGTTTCAATTATCTAGATTTTTCCTTTAAACTTTTTTTTTTTTAATTATTTTGTTCTGTCCTCTGCCCCAATGTACTATAGAATACCTTTCAATATTCCCTGGCCAGACAGAGCAAGCCTGGAGCGGTAAGCTTGATAATTAAGCAGTCTGACTAAAACCACCTTTGTTGTATTTAGCATGGCATCGCAATATATCTAAGCATTGGTTACACTGACAAAATTGCTCACATGTTTTTATATTAATTTAGGGGTTTTTTATATATTAAAGGTACTGATTTTTACAAGTACTGGACAGGGAGGGGACTAGAGGAAGAAGAATAATGCATTGGCAGTGCTTTCTTCTCTTAGTTTTTGCTTTGTTATTTCTGTTCTCTTCCTTACTATTGCTTTCTATGGATTTTTTTTTCTTGTCATTTCCTGTATATGTTTTATTAGTGACTTTTACCAGAGAAAGATATTGAGAGCAATTACTGAACAAATTATGGCTTAAGACTTTAACAAGAGAGACTGCGACTATGAAAAGGACCTGTTATAAACTGTTCATAAAGCATCATCAGAGCTTAGATATAACAGGGAACCCATATGGAAATCCTTTCTGGAAATCTGGAAATTTTATGCTTCTCATCACATGGTGATAGAACATGCTGATAGACACAGAGTTGCTCACTGCTGGGAAAAGAAAAACACTGAGTTAATAAGTAAATACACCTTGCAATTCTCCCTCATCTTGTTCACATCACTGCTGCGTTTCACACAGATGTGGAGTCCCTTTACATCTGTCTCAGATTTATTGCCTTATAATTATTTCAGAAATAAAAACTGTGAATTAAGGTTACATAAAATTACTTGTGATAAATGAAGAACAAGTCATGCATAATTGCTTTGGAACTTTGGTTTTAATTTAGGAAGTCTATGTTAAAACTCTTGACCCACACAAACTGAAAACCATGAAGATTGGTGCTGGAAGAACTAATGAAGATTTAAAATGCTGTTTGGGTTTTTAAGGATTTGGGACCAACTTTTGTTTGAAGTAGTTTGCACATAATTAGAGATAGGATTTACCCATAAGCATTACAGAGTGGTGTTGTATGAGCCAAGCCAATAGTAATGTTTTCGAGTATTCTCCCCCCCCCCAGTAGCTTATAGTATTTTTTATTAATTTAGAAATCCTAAAGGTAATGAGGATTTTTCCCCACATTTTGTTGATCAGTTTTTAGAATATGGTAAGAAAGTGTTAAAATTCCAACTTAAAACATTTGGTGACCATCTTCAATAACTGAAAAACACTTGAATCTGTATTTGTAACCAAGAATTTTTGATATATTGAGGTTACACTCTGGTTATTTTACTTGCTCCTTTCACTCATATTGCTTATCTTCTGTCATTGGGAAGATGCAATAATAAAATTGATCAGACAGTGGATAACTAGACTATTGTCTTAAATTTGCAGCTCTTAAAAACCAGGAATGGCATTCTTTTCCCATCTGTTCAATTAAATCCACTTGATGGTTATCAGTGATATATTTCTTTTTGCAGGTTTGCCACTAGGGAACTGCATTCAGTTTCTGACAGTGATGGCCTTCTGTGCAAATAGGTTAAAGGAAATCCATTTCTAGTTTAAGATGTTACTAGGTTGTTATAAAGTAGCTTCTTTTCACTTTCTCTTGTCTTGACTAACTTTGATCTATAAAAACCAGTGAGATTTGCTCTTAAATCCTCTCTGTGTAATTCAATTTGACACAATTTGAATGTGCTCCTTTGTACTCAATTGGTTCTGTGTTACTAAGGCCTATTTACAAAAGCCTCCATATAGAAGCACTGCCCTCTTGAATTGTCAGTGTCATTGATGCTTATCGTCTTAAACACTAATGAGCATGTTCTTGTATGGGTTTTTTTTGTTTCACTTTAGAATGCATTTCTGGGTTTGGGGACTTTTTTGTATTAAACATTTCCTTGTTTTGTCTACATTAGTAAATTTTAGCCATAGCAAACTTAGGTTTCTTTTTTTTAACTTTCAAATATGTTTTCATGTATACATAAGTACTAGTACTCATTTATATATTACAGAAGAGGTTGCCTCTCCAACTTCTACAGTAGCATGTAAGCTAGAGTTTGTGAATATACTTAAAAAAGCAACAAGGGCTTATCATGTATAGGAAATATGAATACACAGTATGGAGAGGGAGGTTGTAGAAATTGATATGGGAGAAAGGGACAGGCATCTTTTCTTTCCTTTTCATTTTAAAACTACTACATGTTGCCAGTTCTAAAGGCTAAAATCATTAACTGTTTATTTTTTTCAGCAATTACCTATTTTGTGGCTTTCTGAACATTTATGTTTCCTCAAAATTTTAAAATATTCTCAGCAGTTGAGAGCCAGAACTTTTAACATGACAGCTGTGACCATGTAATCACAGCACACTGAGCTGGAGCTTAAAAATATCCCGGGCATTTGTAACTGTTACTGTCAAACAGCAAGACTCAGTTTTGTGTCATGTAATGTGGTCTGTAGAAATAGATTTCAATGTGATTTTGAGGTGAGATCAATATGTATGCAGAAATCCCAGTAATGCTGGATTTTTAGCAGTAAATGCTAAATCTCTTGCCCAGAGATTTTTAGGATTTGGCTCATACTGGAGAAAGTGATGGACAGGAAGTCAGAGTTCACATTACAGTGGGTAGTTTATAACAACCCCACCTTGAAGTGCGTAAGGTATTTTGTGGTCTTTTGAGGAACTAACCAGAAAAATTAGCTTCTGAACTTGTTAATTAATAGTCTTCATTTTTTCCTCCATCCAAATTTGGCGTTCTAGTTAAGCTACCCTGACTGTCCATAAATATTTTCGTTTCATGCTAGAAACTTCATAGTATGTTGTCAGTTTTCAGGTTTCTACGATATTTTGTCATTTGAGAAGGTGGCCAGAAGTTCTTTTTTATAATAAGTATTTATTTTCACTTTTTTGCAACAGTTAGTCTTGCCAAGTAACTTAAATACATGCTTTCACTAACCAACCTGCTTGATGGGGTCAGTCACAGCTTCCCTGCAGGCAGCTTCATGAAATTCTTTTGTCTTTCTCAGTTGCACAGCTGTGTTTACATTTTACTGATACATTACTGTAGGAGTGATGCCACCATTTTGAAAGTTACTTTTCTTCTCCCATCCCATGTCCTCTCCTGCCCTTTTCATTGCCAACAGACACGTCAGCAGCAGTGACAGAGTAGGAAAGCCCTACCGTGGTGTGAAACCAGTATTCAGCATCGGAGACGAAGAAGAATACGATACTGGTACAGTAGATTTTCCTCTTACTTTGATTAGCTTATCTAGACAAAATTGTGAATTTTGGCTAAATCATAAGAGTGTATTTTATATCTTTGTCTTACAACATGACATTTTTCTAACTGTTCTTGTTGGTTGTGTTTGTTACGGTGGTGCCTAGGACCAACCAAGAAAGAAACACTCTCTTCAGATACATAGTAGCAGCCTAGATAGAAAAGATTTTGTGGTAGGCATCAACCAGCCAACAGGTAGGAATGGAAATAGATGGGTTTAGTGGATAGTTTGTGTTCACCTGTTATTTCTGTAGTCAAGATCTGTTTTTCTACACTGGTCTTGTACATGTAAACCTGCAGTTGTACCTCTCTTACAACAGTAAGCAAAATGTAAAGGACCTGTTTGGCTGGTAGATCTCAGGTTGAATCTCTACTATTGGCAGTTAGTATAATGATCTGAATTTCTGAAAATATAATTGGAGCTAGACTTAAGATGGCTAATGTGTGCACACTTCTCCAGTGTTTTGGACTTCACTTTTAGCATTGAATCTATTAATAATTGATTAATCTCTTGATATGCATGCAGAATGCTGCAGAGAACACATTGATGTTTTTGCTTAATTTTTTAGTCTAGTTGAAAAATTACAGGCAAAACTGGAACACCACACTTTTCAGAAAGGTGGTTTTTGGTTTTGTTGGGTTTTTTTGAGACTAGTGCTAACATTAGAATGGCACAGACCTACTGCTGTCCTGGTTTGGTTCTGGTAGTGTTAGCTCCCTCCCAACCATTGTCATCTCATAAATAACCATTCTGTGACCAATGTGAGAATCAAGTAACTAGAATAAGAATGCCTGACCTGCAAAACAAATCATTTAGGGAGTTTAATGAAAGAGGTTAATGGGATCTGTAGTTGTTTAATTGATCCTTGTTTGTCTGCTGTAAGAATTGGAAAGGAGCAAAATGAAACTATGAGGCAGAAACTTTAATACTAACAAATTAATTCTCCAAATGCCATGTAATTAAGTTTGCACCATTCTTCGAGCATCCTTTGAGCAGATATTTATACTTAAATTTCTACATTACACCACTGGGGCATACATTCGAGTGGGGATGACTATAGACAATCTTATCACTTATGTTAATGTCACAAAGTTTGTTAATTCACACCTGCGTGGGTGGAGGTAATGGGTCCTTTTGTTTGGGGCGGAAAGAAATGGGGGACTGGGACCATGAGGCCTCTGCCCTGCCGCATTTCACATTCCTCCGGACATCCAGATAACACCAGATATTGATCCAGTGATGGTTGCCACCTCCAATGCTTGCCACCTTGCCCAGTGCTGAGTTTCATGCTTCCAGGCATGCAGCTACATGGTGTACGTGACTTGGACTTTGTGACTAACCTTTGCTCTCCCTGTACACATGGTTTTGGTACTCCTTGCCAAAAGATGTTGGTGGTGTAGATGCAAAAGGTTTACATGGCTTCAAGGAACATGGACAAGTCCATGTAAAAGAGATCTATTAAACTTTACTGAATGGATAATTTTTCTTCTTTCAGTTGCTTATGGCTAGGTGGACCTTGGTTTGAACCAGCATAGCCACTATGAGTTTAAGTGAGTTGAAAAGTTGTCTGATGTTGTATGAAAATATTTTTTATTATTTTTTTTTTACTCTCTCCCTTCAAAACAGATGAAATTGATAGCTCCTCGATGTCAGATGATGATCGAAAAGAGGTCGTCAACATCCAAACATGGATAAACAAACCTGATGTGAAGTATAACTTCTCCTGTAATGAAGTCAAAGAAAATGGACATATGTTTCCCAGGTACTAGAATTAGTCCTACGCTTGGTCTTATTAGTCTTATTCTTGGTATTAAACTAGGAAATGAAGGTGCTAAACAAACTGCTACTACTATATTTGCATTCTTATACTGGCAGTGTTACAGAATGGTAATTATGTACAAAACCTAGTATGAAGTTTTGCTCTGCAAAACAAGACAGAAAGAAAAATGTTCTGAGAATGTATAGGTTTGTTTTTCAAGACCAGGTAGACTGAAGTACCTGTGGCTCCAGTTTTTCTTGTCTACTTGTCTCTGTGCCTTGTACTGTGCCCCCGTTCTTACCCCTAAGATTCAGTGACCTTGTTAATCCTGGAGGAGCAGAACATGATGCTTGCTGTATTTTGGCTTCTCGAAAGAGTACAAATCATGCTGAATCTTGGTAACAGAAAATGACGATGGGCTTTCTCTTGCATTGTGGTCTGGTTTTATCTTTTAATTTTATTTTCCCATTAGATTTATTTTATATGGTTTATGATCAATAGTGTCATAGTATAATTTTTCAAACTGAGTTGGAGCTCAGCTAGTGTGTTCCCACTGCTAGCTGAACATGCACTCCTTTCATGAAGGCAAAAGTGGGTCTGGAACTGAACTGGAAGGTTGGCATCTCCAGGGTAGTGCTTGCACAGTGATTGATAATTGTGGAGTGCCAGCACGTCCCTTTAACTCAAGTCTGCTGCTCCGCTCTATAGATGGAGTGGTGGGGTTGCAGTATGATTGAAGGATGAAAGAGAGAGGCTGGAGGCACTTTGCCTACCCTGTGCATGGCCTGGCACATTAGGGGTGGTTGTGATCTTTGTTGATAGCTCTCTTGGCTGTTGTGTTGAGGTGATGATGCTAACTGCTCGCTCTGGCATTGTATGCTGTTGAGGATGCCATGCTTGTTATCAAAAATGGCTATGATACGGTACTTAAGGAAAATCTGAAGTATTTTGTAGACCTTTCTAAATTACGGATTTTAAAAGTATTAAAGTGTTTCTTAGATTTGGGAACTGTTTTACCTAGTTCTCTTCGTGTAGCTTATTTGTAGAATCTAGCTTTCTAAATTGCTGATATTTAGTTCATTAGCAAATTTAATCTGTTTTTTTTCTTTCTTTTCCTTCAAGTCATCTCCTAGTAACAGCAACTCATATGTACTGCTTGAGAGAGATCCCATCGCGAAAGGGACTGGCTTATATACAGTCTCGGCAGGCACTCAACTCTGTAGTCAAAATCACATCCAAGAAGAAACACCCAGAACTGATCACCTTTAAATACGGAAATAGCAATACTTCAGGCATAGAAATTCTGGCAGTTGAAAGGTAAGCCATCTCAGCAGCAGAGATGTAAGTAGTAATGATACACAGAATGCCGTCAACTGGAAACCAGAGACATGCTGTAATTCCCAGAAGTGAGTTCAAAAGTAACAGTTTTTTATTTAGAAATAGGTAATTCAGATGTGAACTAGAAAAAAGATCTGCCAGCAGAATGAGGAGGGCTCACAAGACCCAGCAGAGAGGAGCTCCATGGTCTTCAATGACAGTTGTTGGGGATGGGATGTGTGCAGACATTTTATTTTTGTAGTATGTCTTAAGTGAAAATGGACAACTGTCTACAACCCCAAGTATGGATTTGTAAAAACTGGGATTTAAGAGAGAGGTCTTTCTTCTGTGGTGTCTTTTCTGAGGCATCTCACTCTTCCTATTGTACAGGGAGTCCAAAAGCCTAACCTCAAAAACTCTGAACCCCTGAAACCTGGTTTCTGAAAGTCAGGTATTGCCGTGTTCAGCATCTGTGTGCTTAAGACTGGAGAGGAGTCATAAGAATAGGTGTATTGGGGGGTTTTCCCCTGGTGTATGGTGTTTGACACTTTTTTAACAAAGTTGCTGACATCAGTTGGGCATTTTCCCATCTTCTTCCCTGGGGAGAACTGTGTGCAGGGGGTGCTATTTTCACAAGCAAGTGGGAGATAAGTTTACCAGCTACCTGTGGGGGTTGTTCTGTGTCTGTTGGCTGATTAGAATGAAATTAGTTTGGTAGAGGTCAGACAAAGATAAATAAAAATGTTGAAAAAGTTTAAAACTTTGCTGCTTGTTGGATTACTCCATCACCACCAGTCAGACGGTGCTATCTGTAGAGATCTTGAACTGCCTGGTCTATACCATTGTCAATTAATGAAGAACTTTTCCTTTCCAGAACTTTTCCTTTCCAGGATGGCCTGTGAAGTACTTCTCAACAGTTCTGAGTGCACAAGCAGAAAGTATTTTATAGTATAAAGAGGAAATAAATGTTATTTTCTCAGTAGTTTTTTATTTTAATATCAGCCTCTCCTACTTTCTCCTAGTTTGTGTCAGAGGGCAAATCAAAACAAGAATTAGAGAATTGATGGTCAAAAATTGTATAGTGAATTAATGATAGCTTTTTCTCATCTTTTTTTAAGGTATTTGATTGCAAATGCAGGTGATGCTACCAAAGCCATAAAACAACAGATCATGAAGGTATTGGATGCCTTGGAGAGTTAATAACTAAAGACTCTGTAGAGAACAGTTTATAAAGAAGAAGCAACCAAGATACTGTATGTGGGCACAAGCTGACTGTTTCCCGACTGAATACTAACTTAAGAGAATTTTTATGTTTGCTGATGGGAGTGCCTGAGTAGCAGGCTTAAGATAGGGTAAATTATTATCAATTTCTGATCAGGATTTTGAATTTTTTGTTTTATTTTTTTTTGTTTTGAATATACGTTCATTATAAAGGTCAGTTTGTTTCATTTTTAAGTGGTGAGTGATCTGCATCTTTGCAAGAGAAGTTGAAGCTAAGTTCACAGTAAGTGTGTTAAAGGAATGAAGCACTACCAGATACGGAGAAGCAGTTGAAAACAGAACTGTTTTTAAATTACTGTCCCTTGAAAGTAAAATATCTTCATTACCTACAGTCTGTAAATTTGACTCTGCCTACTGGGTACTATCAAGGACTGATTAAAAACTTAAGTTTATGAGCAGAGCAAATAAAAGCTTGGAAGTATTGGTTCTTTCTCATAAAAAATGTTTAAATCCAGTTTAAGTTGCAGATAAATGGAAAAAATGTAAGGAATTTGTAACATTAACTTTTTTAAAAAGTCTTATCCACTTCTAGGTTACATAAATTCAATTGGTGGTACAGGTATTTAAAAAAAACAACAAAATTAACTGTGGTTAATAAGCTTTTACTACAGGGTTGGGATTTTTTTCGTTATGCAAAATTTTACATTTCATAGGTTGTGGCTGTTTCTCTTGTAAAGATGAATTGAAATTAAGTTAATGCTTCATGACAGAATACGACAGTTGAAAACAAGGTACCTTGCTCCTCAGAAACAAAATGGCTAAGATAATAATTAGACCTTCAAAAACCTTCAGTTCAGCACAGAGGTATGCGCTGATCAAAGATATGTTGAGCAAGAAAATCAACACACTCAAAGTGAAGAGAGTTAAGTGATATTCCTGTGATAAGTGTGTTCATTACCTGTTGCCTTCACTGATTCAAGCATATTCTTTTAACTAATATCTTCTAAATCAGTTAGTGTTTGAGAGATGGAAACTGTGTGATTGTTTGTCAGCAGCTTTCCACTTGTTCCAAGAATGGTTCTTTTGTTAAAAAGTTCAGTACAGGAATGTCCTCGTGGCTGAGGTGTAGCACCTTTGCAGACTGATTTTTTACCAAATTGCCAAAACCTGTGAAATAAAGATAATTGGGATTAGCTTTCCTGTGTGAAGTCTTTGGAGTACTTGAATCAAAACCTGTGAATTGGTACATCATCAGGAGACAAAATAAATTAAACTGACCTTTATAAAAAAAGTTATTCTAAGTTATTTTACTAGGAATCAAGCTAGGACACCTTAATTCTGGAACTAATTCCTTTCTTTTTCCTTCTTAGTATCTGAGTAAACACCAATAGAACTTGAACTGTTGAAGATATTTGCATGAAATGCACCTGGGCCAACACTCATGTATTTATAGTTTTGCCCAGCAACTGTTGTATTACATTTTCCTCTTCCTACTCCCCTCTGAAAATATCCTGAAGAGTCTCTGACTCTGTGCCTACTTCAGCAATGAGATTTTTTTCATGTAAAGATGTTTGCGTTATTGTTTATAAACTACAGTTGTAAATAAACCAGTACTATTTGAACTATTTGTTCTGTCAGAAAGCGTTTAGTTGCATACAGTGTGAATTCTTTGAATTGATTAACAGTTTTCCTAAAGTTATTTCATAAGTTAAAGTGAATTTCATCTTTGGAGTGGAAAAAGCTGATTATAGATCACAGGGAGATACTGTGAGTAGCATCTTAATGTAGAATCACAGAATCATAGAATGTGTTGGGTTGGAAGGGACCTGCAGTGAGCAGGGACATCTTTAACTAGATCAGGTTGCTCAGAGCCCCATCAAGCCTGGCCTTGAATGTCCCCAGGGATGGGGGTTAGAAATCGGGAATTATCCACCGAGCACTAATATGGTGGGTTTTCCCATTTTCATCTAGGGCTTCCCATGCATATAAGCCTCTGGGCTTTGCCAGGGTCATGGGCACAATTCCAATAGAAGGTAGTTTCACCATGACAGGCTGGCCCACATTAGTCTCTAGTGGAAGCTTATTCTTTTCACTGTCTGGTATAGCATCACTGCCCAGTAGTGGTTTATCAGGGTGGAATGCCCTGATTCTGGGGCTCCCATAATTTCCCCAACGATTATTAATGATAAGGACTGCTTGTGCAAGCCCTGTGTCCCAATGGGGTCATGAGACATTTGCATGTTTTTTAAACAGACCGTGAGTCCGCTAAACGATTCCATTGGCTTGGGGGTAATATGGTGTATGAAACACGCACTTGATACCTTCCCCTGAGCCCAATCTTGAACCACTGTAGCTGTAAAATGTGAACCATTGTCACTTTGAATACTCTCAGGGGTGGGTAAAACACTGAACCATTCACGTTCACGCAACACTCGCACGGTTTGGCCTCCAGTGGCAGCACTGACGGCCATAGCCACTGACAGTCCTGAAACCACTTCTACTCCTACCAGGATGAACTTCCTTCCATGAGATGGCTTTAATGGCTCAACATAGTCAATCTGCCAGGTACTCCAAAGAACTTTATCCTGTCTAATGTGCTACGGTGGGGCTTGGTTTGGGTGGTCAGCTTTAAGCCTCATTCGGCACTGTGGACAGGCCATGAGAATAGCTTGATATGTTGCCCTGGACATCAGCCATCCCTGAGACTGGCACTCCTAGTAAAGATCTGCTTTTCCAGAGTGACCTCTCTTGATATACAGCCACTCAGCCAACCATTTTCTGTTCTCTCCGCCCACCAGGACATCATCAATATATTGATATATATACCTGATGGCATTTTCACAGTGTTCAGGAGTGTAGCCAAAGCATTATGGGCAATGGTGGGAGAATGCTTATACCCGTGTGGGAGATGATTAAAGGTGTACTGTATCCCCTCCCAAGTGAAGGCAAATTGGAGTTTGTCCTCCTCCCTTAGGGGAATCATGAAGAACATATCCTTGACATCTAAGGCAGCTATCCATGGATGGGCTGCTGCTTGTATGGCAGTCACCACTGAGGATATACTTGGAACAGCAGCTGTTAAAGGTGCAGTATTGCCATTCAATTTTCAACAATCAATAGTTAGTCACCATTGCCCATCAGGCGTGCTAACAGGCCAGACAGGGGAGTTGTAGGGGGAATGGCTGTGGCTTATTATTTGCCTTTTCTCAAGATCTTTAATGACTCCTGAGGATATACTTGGAACAGCAGCTGTTAAAGGTGCAGTATTGCCATTCAATTTTCAACAATCAATAGTTAGTCACCATTGCCCATCAGGCGTGCTAACAGGCCAGACAGGGGAGTTGTAGGGGGAATGGCTGTGGCTTATTATTTGCCTTTTCTCAAGATCTTTAATGACTCCTGCAATGCCCCGTTTGGCTGCGCTTGGCAAGGGATACTGGGAAACACAAGTTACTTTAGATGGAGGCAATGCAGGAGCAAGCTGTAAAATCCTAACATGAGCACCTTCCACCCCGCGACTTCCAAAATTCCACACGCTGCCATTGGGCAGACGCCACTGCTTACCCGCTAAAATATCAAACCCGAGTCTATTCCCCTTAAAAGGGCTCAGAGCAACCTCCACTGTCGTCATCCGTTTCTCTCCAGGCAGCCAAAACTGTGTTCTGGCCAATGGGCACCTTTCTGAAGCACCCGCTACCCCTATTATATTAATGGCTTTTCTCAAGGGTCTGATACCAAGCTCATCTGCTTGCTGTTTATTTAACATACTAATTTGTGCTCCTGTGTCAATTAAAAACTCTAAATTTATCCTCTTTGGACCAACAGGAATATGTATGTAGGGTTCCTTAGTAGCGGACCACTGATAAGACTTTACCAGGCAGATTGGGCGGCCCAGTCCCCAGACTGCAGCTTCTTGTTTTTTGGGCCATCGGGAAGACAGCGCAGAGCGAGCATCTCTAACCAGAGGAGGTGTCTGGTATTGGAGCTGCTGATATCTGAAACCAGAGGAGGTGTCCGGCTCTGAGATGATTTGTGCCCCGTTTTTTTGTGGTAAATGTGCAATGAGGGGGAAACAGCAGGAAAGTCTGTCTCAAACTGTTTCCGATCCCGAGGTGTTGTTTAAATTATTAGATGCTCATAATGCCAGGCTGTCAGTGTCGGGGTGTGACTGGGCCAGAGATAACTGGCACAATTTGCAAAGCATGGAAGACAGGATAACTGCTCTGCAGAAAGATGTGAGGTTAAGACCTGGACAGGGAAAGGCTATAGCATGTGCTGTTTTAGGGGCTAGTTTAGCTGCTGCAACGGAAGAACGTGCAGATCACCACAC